CTCAGTTGACAGTTATTTTCTCAGTTCTTTTGTTTGTGTGTGTGTTTGTTTTTGAGACAGAGTCTCGCTCTGTCCCCAAGCTGGGGTGCAGTGGTGCAATCTCGGCTCATTGCAAGCTCCGCCTCCCGGGTTCATGCCATTCTCCTGCCTCAGCCTCCCGAGTAACTGGGACTACAGGTGCCCACCACCGTGTCCAGCTAATTTTTTGTATTTTTAGTAGAGACGGGGTTTCACCATGTTAGCCAGGATGGTCTCGATCTCCTGACCTTGTGATCCGCCCACCTCGGCCTTCCAAAGTGCTGGGATTACAGGCGTGAGCCCCTGCGCCCGGCCTATTTTGTCAGTATTTAAATAACTGGTTGCTACTTTCTGCCGACCTCTCTGGATTTTCATTTGTCTGTTTTGTTTACTTTGAATTTTGTTTTAAATCCATAGTTATTTGAATTGTTGGGTCTTTACAAGTATTGCGTTGTTTGTCTGGCTGTTTTCAGTGTGTTTTAATTTTAGGCTGTACCAATGTGATTATGATATATGTGGTTGTGGATTTCGTTGATTTTAACTCTTAGTTTCTTGAAACTGTGTTTATATCTTTTGTCAAATGTAGGAAGTTTTCAGCCATTATTTCTTAGCATGTTTTTTCTGCAGTGAACTCTTGATCCTTATATTCTAGAATTCCAGTAACATGAAATGTTGTACCTTTTGATATTTGTTTCACAGTCTCTGAGTTTCTCTTTTTTTTTTTTTTTTTTTTTTTGAGACAGAGTCTTGCTTTTTCACCCGGGCTGGGGTGCAGTGGCGTGATCTCCGCTCACTGCAAGCTCCGCCTCCCGGGTTCACGCCATTCTTCTGCCTCAGCCTCCCGAGTAGCTGGGACCACAGGTGCCCTCCACCTTGCCCGGGTAATTTTTTGTATTTTTAGTAGAGATAGGTTTCACCGTGTTAGCCAGGATGGTCTCGATCTCCTGACCTCGTGATTCGCTTGCTTCGGCCTCCCAAAGTACTGGGATTACAGGCGTGAGCCACCCTGCCCGGCCCGAGTTTCCCTTTTTTTTTTTTTTTTTTTTTTTACATTTTTTTTCCTCTATGTTTAGATTGGATATTTTTTATGTGCTCAAGTTTACTTCTTTTTCTTCTGTTGTCTTCATTCTGTATTTGGACACATTCAGTGAGATTTTATTTTATTCCATTTTATTTAATTAATTTTGTTGAGATGAAGTCTCACTTTTATAGCCCAGGCAGGACTGCAGTGGCACGATCTCAGCTCGCTGCCACCTCTGCCTCCCGGGTTCAAGCGATTCTCCTGCCTCAGCTTTCTGAGGCTGGTCTTACAGGTGCCTGCCACCACGCCCCACTCATTTTTGTATTTTTAGTAAAGAAGAGGTTTCACCATGTTGACCAGGCTGATCTCGAATTCCTGACCTTAGGTGATCTGCCCCCCATGGCTTCCCAAAATTCTGGGATTACAGGCATGAGCCACCGCGCCCAGCTCCTTTTGGTTCTTTACATCTTTCATTTCTTTGCTAACACTGTCCATTTCTTTTATTTTCATTTATTTTCAGTGTGTTTTTTCTTACTCTTTGGAGCAGTTGTGTAACAGCTGCTTTAAAGTTTTTATTTGATAATTCCAACATCTTTGCTATCTGGATGTTGGTGTCTGTGAATGTCTTTTCCCATGCAAGTTTAGATTTTCCTGGTTCTTTGTATGCTAAGTCATTTTGGTTTGTATCCTGGGTATATTGAAGATTGTGTTATGAGACTCTAGGCCTTGTTTAAATCCCATGGAAGTTGTTGATATGTTTGTTTTAGTAAGCAATCAATCTTGTTGGTTTTAGGCTGAAAGCTCTTGCTTTTCTTCTGTGGATTTGTTTCCAATATCAGTTCTGTTGGGTGTCTCCCATGTACATATCAAGTCTGGGACGTGGGCAGTAGTCTGTTCCTTAGTTCAATTATCAAAGCTTATGGAAACTTTTTAGGGTCAGATACAGACATGAGCAGAGAGGTAAGTGCAAGAGTTTGTAAAAAATACCGTATGAGGGTAATTCTCCCCCATTATTTTCTCTCCAGGATCCTCAAAGTAATACTTGTTTTCGAGGGTTCCCCATTTTTTGTCCTCCACCCAGAAAGCTGGTGGTATTTTGTTTGTTTTTCATTTTTCTGTTCACATGCTTGGCATCTGAGTCTGCATTTAGGGCCAAGTGTCGAGAGAAGAGAGGAAATAAAGAAAAGCAATGGGAGGTGGGAGTTGTTTGCCCAACCTCTTGGGACCGCAGTCGTAGATGTTAAGTGTCTGTAGCCGCCCCACTTGCTACTGTTGTTTATACAGGAACACTATCCTGAGATTGCCTGGAGACTGCAGCTTAAGAGGAGAGATAAACTTTTAAAAAGAAAGAATAATAATAATAAAAAAAGAACAATGGGGATTTTCCCTATTCTCTAAGCATTAAGATTCCTGTGTCTCGTTTCTCAAGACAAAACCAAAGTGCTTCTCCTGAGTCTCTATCTGCCTGGGTGTCTAATTTTCAGCTCTTGGCTACCTTGCACCCACACTAAGGGGTATTGGTGGTGGTACCACTTATCTGGTGGTACTTTAAATTTTGGTTGTTTTGTTCCCCCCTCCACTTGCTGCTATTTAATTTTCGGAGATCTCGAATAGCTGCCCCATGCATTCTATACAGTTTTCCTCTCTGCATTCAGTCAGGGAAGCAGGATGAATTCTTTTGTCTCCATCTTGTCAAGAACCGAAACCTCGCTACCCACTTCATTTATTTTATTGTGTTAAAATACACGTAAAATAAAATTTAGGATTTTCACCATTTTACAGTATACATTTTACTGGCGCTTAAGTAAACTCACAATGTTCTGCAAATATTATCCAGTTTGAGAACATTTTAATCACCCCAAATAGAAACCTCATACCCATTAAGCAGTCACTCCTCCTTTTCCATTAACCCAGTCCTCTGGCAACTGTTAATTTGCTCTCTGTTCTCAATGAATTTTCCCCACTTCATCTTTTAACAGTTTATGGAGACATAATTTACATAATATAAAGTCACCTATTTCAGGTGTATAATTCAATGTGGGTTTTTTTTTTTTGGATGTTTATAGAATTGTACCAGTTTCTTTTTTAATTTTTGGAGTATTTCTCCTAGTCTTTTCCTCTTTAGTTTCTTTTTCTTCCTTTACTTTTATCTTTTTTTTTTCTTTTTCTTTTGAGACGGAGTTTTACTCTTGTTGCCCAGGCTGGGGTGTAATGGTGGGATGTTAGCTCACTGCAACCTCTGCCTCCCAGGTTCAAGCAATTCTCCTGCCTCAGCTTCCCAAGTAGCTGGGATTGCAGGCACCCAACACCACCACCCCCCAGCTCATTTTGGTATTTTTAGTAGAGTTGGGGTCTCACCATATTGGCCAGGCTGGTCTTGAACTCCTGACCTCAGGTGGATCCACCCGTCTTGGCCTTCCCAAGTGCTGGAATTACAAGCATGAGTAATCGCACCCGGCCTTCCTTCCTTTTCTTTAATGATCTGTTTCACTGTATTTTTAACACAAGATAGGAACCCTAATATTGTATATTTCTGTGGTTTCTTTTCTTAAAAACTAAATGGTGTCTTTTAAGCATTTTTCAGATCTCTATATTTAAAACTTTGTTTCTCAATGGTACATGTTATGCTACACTACCAGTATAGTATGTTTTTAATTTTCCCATTATCACACATCATAATTTTTTTTCATAAATAATGCTGTGGTTCATTGACATGGAAGTAAACATTTGTGTGCCTCTCTGCCTATTTTCTTAAGAGCTACTCTTAGTTGTAATATTTCTGGGTAAAAAAAAAGGCATAGAAAAGCACTGATTTTAGATTTTTGGGCTCTGGTGCATTCCTTAAGTAAAGATTCTTCTTTTTGTTTTAGAAGAAGTCAGAAGAAACTTTCTGTACAAAATGCGTAAAATATACATCAAAAGGTTCCTAAACCTCCATATCCCTTCGTAAAAGTTTCAAAAACTTACAGTATATTGTCTGGTGCTGGAAGTCGGGAGTTGTTTCATTGGTTAAAAAAAAAAAATACCGGAAAGATACAGAATAAAGACAAATGAAGACCTAAATTTTATTTCGGCCTAAACTATTTTAGTTCACAGTGGAGTCTACTAGCTCCTGATGACAGAATGACCATATATTTCAAATTTCCTTGTGTGTGTTACTTTTTATCTGTGTTCTTAGTATAATCATGTAATACCACTCCACCCATCCCTCTTAACCCACCTATGTTTTCTTGTTTGGATAATAAGTTATATGGCCACTCTAAAGAAGCATCCTTGGACATTAAGTAAAACATGTCAACAGGGCAAAGATAATTAATGCAGGGCATATGTATTGCTAACACCCATTTTTCTATCTGATGGTTGAAAGTAGAAACCTACCGGGGTTTCTTTCTCTGATAGAAGGATTGACCTCAGAATTCTCCCCAGTACAATCCTATGGGGACTTACTACCATCAGATTAGAACTGGACCATAAAATATAACCCAGTTGTCAAGGCATGTAGCTGACACTGCTGGCCCTGAACATCAGAGAAGACTGTGTGTTTTCCACTGACTTATCACAACCAACTCGAGTGGACCTTTATGGAGGAATTCCTGCACCTGTGAGATAGGGCAAGCCGGAGATTTCAGGGCAAAGGGTGGGGGGTTTCTTGACGAGAGGGGAGCTGCCCTTATCCCAGGCAGATGCTGCCTCCCACACATTCTCCTACACCTCTCTCCTAATCCCCTTTCCAGTCTCTGACATATCCTAGCTGTGCTTCTGAATAACACAATTGAACTCTAAGTGAGGCTTGAGCTATGTGAGGCTTGAGCTATGTAGACCTAAAGAAAAATTAAATACATAATTAATTAATTATGGGTTTTCTTTGAGCTGAGTAATTAAAAGGAACTTTCTGTTTTCTTTCATGTTTTTCTGATGCAGAGCCTTCTGACTTTTCCCCTTCGTTTTCTCTTCTTTGTAGGTTTCAAGACAACAGATGAATTGTGAAAGAGAGCAGCTAAGGGTAGGTGCACCTGCTTGTGAAATGCTTCCTGATTCTCATTTTTGTGTGATAAGCAAAAATTTCCTTGTCTCTCCCAAGACACGGATTCTAAATAACAGGCTTCATCTTAAGACTGGTAGAGTTGAAAATATTTATCCCAGCTAATTTAGTATTGATTGAGCTGGTAAATACAGTATATCTTCTTTTGAAGTGCCATTATAGTAGATATGGATTTTTTGATTTAGTTTCAGCAATAAATACTTCTCTTCTGGAATTTGTTTGACATCATTGTAGTCTTTTTATGTACAGCACGAGGTCTAAGTAATAACAAAGGTCAAAAGGATGGCTTGCTGCCTTCTTAATATGGATACCAGGCTGTTTGCTGAGTGGCTAAAAAGCTCTTTGGCTGTTGACTGGGGTGGGTGAGCAAGGAATATGTCAAGGGCGTTTTCTAGGAGAATTTGCGTTATCTATAGACCTCTTGGTTTTAGTGACATTTGTGTATATGGGAGAGGGAGACAACATTTTAAACCTCATATTCTATTTCCCCACTTAAAAATGAAACTCTCTTGGTGCTCAGGTATATCGGTGTAAGGAGTATTCCCCAGATGTGGAGGGAGTGTTTGGTTATAAATGGAGCTTGGTGACATTGTTCTGCTTTCATCGCGTCTCAGTGGACATTCTTCTTGGTATGGGGATGGCATTTTTAGAAACGATGGGATTTCTCCCCATTTGTTTTCTTTTAAATGAATTCATGTTTTCGGTGGACGAGATTCAAATTATGATTGGTCTATCTTTCATGTCACTAATGGAAGTTGGCAGTTTTTACTGGACAATGTGCCTTGTAGCCATGTTTTCAAATTGTTATAAAAATTAGAGGAATATGCTGCTTTTAAAACCACAACAGTGTGATTTGGCGTCGGGAAACCACTGTGCCCAAAGGTGTCTAATAAATAAGAATAATGTATCAGACAGGCCTAATACCTTCGTACACTGCCCTGTAACTTCAGAGCATTTACCTAATGATAGTGTCATGATGGCAATAATTTGTAGAGTTGCTTGCGTCTGACACTTGCTGTTAGCATCAGGTTTGTCAAGTACTTGGGTAAAATAACAGAATCCAGGTGCATGAAACCAAGGAAGCGAGTTAAGGTTTTCTGTTTCTTTTATGCATATTTATGTACTATCTCAGTATGGTCCTCTCTACCGATTTTCCTTCAAGTACCTGTGCCAACATTAGTTGTGACCCTTTCCTTCATGGAACAGACTTCAAGATGTTTTAAGCTTTTCTGAACTCTCTTACTGCCTTTTTTTTTTTTTTTTTCCTGCAGTCTGAATTACTGGTTCATCCTATTAAATAATGTATTACAACTTCAGATTTCTCTTGCTGTTTGGATGGGGACGATGGCCAGAACTAGGTCAGAGCTAGATAAAGAGAAATATGTGCCTTTGTCTCCAGGAGTCCCTGATAAATTCCTGAGAATTAAGATAATCTTGAAATCTCTATTGCAAATGGCACTTGCCTGGCAAGTTAAGGACACAGTAGGTAATGAAGGGTTTATTTGCATTTTAAGGGATTATTTCTCATTGATGACTTCATTGTCGACAGGGGCGCTGTTTAGGTTCAAGAATGGAGTCTTCCCCTCTCTGTTACATAAATGCAGGGAGTGGCTTGATATTAACATAATGGTTCATTTACATTAGTCCCCAGTGAGGCTCCAATAGCCCCATCTCTAACATCAGGAACCAGTGCTTTGTTTGTTGTTACTTTTGTGGTCACTGTTTTTGCTTTTTAAATGAATTAATGTTTTGAATTGATAGTTGGCGCATTTGATTGGATAGAGCACACATATATAGGGTTCAAAATTTAAATACTACCAAAGAGAGTGCAATGGAATTTTCCCTTCCCACGTGACTCAGGCGTCCAGCTCCCTCTGGGAGACCCCCAGTGTGATTAAGTACTGGTAGCTATCTCATCTGTAGATATTTTCTTCTGTTCTCTTCATTTTTGTTCTCTGTCTTTCCATCTCTTTTTCTTCCTCCTTACCTCTCTCCCTCTTTTCCTTTCACGGCTGTGTCTTTAAGAGCCCCTCCACCACCTCAAAAGAAAACTTCCTTTATTAAGGTGACTTTTTTTTTTTTTTTTTTTTTTTTGAGACAGAGTTCCTTTCTTTCGCCAGGCCGGAATGCAGTGGTGCAATCTCAGCTCATGGCAACCTCTGACTCCTGGTTTAAGCAATTCTTGTGCCTCAGCCTCCAGAGTAGCTGGGATTACAGGCACGTGCCACCACGCCCAGCTAATTTTTTTTTTTTTTTTTTTTTTTTTGTATTTTTGGCAGAGATGGGGTTTCACCATGTTGGCCAGGATGGTCTCGATCTCCTGACCTTATGATCCGCCTGCCTCGGCCCCCCAAAGTGCTGGGATTACAGGTGTGAGCCACCGTGCCAGGCCTGAGGGGGGCATTTTTTAAGGATTTCTGAAAGAAATTTAGAACTGAAATGTAAATACCTGTCCATCTCAATGCAATGCATTTTCCTTAATCTCGTTTTGCTTTCTTAGAAAGAGAGTGGAAGAAAAATAGAAATCTATTTAGTTACCACATCGTTGAAGGATAACTGTCTGCAAGCCACAATTAAAATGTGTCCTAAGTGCAGCAATCAAAATGTATTTCCAGATTTGCTATCCAGGATGACTAGGACTGTGGCCGTGTTATCACGTTGAAGGTCCTTCATTAGTGCATTCTGTTGTCAGAATTCAGGGATATAAGTGGATAGTTGTAAAATTTATTCCTTTTCCTTGTCCTCCTGGAAATAGCAGATGATGCAGAAAGATAAAGCTGCCATTTCTGTTTTGTGCCCATCGAAGCTGTGTAGGAATTGGCGTATCCTATACTTGGTCTTAGGATCTCCTTTCTTTTTCTCACGAAGCCTAAGTTAATTTTTCCAAAACAGACTCTGTGAAGTGCTTAGTATCTTGAAGATATTAGGAAGTCTTTAAAACGATTATATGATTAATTTTAGGAAATACCATGTTAAAAAAAAAAAACGGAAATGTTTTTGTTTTTTAACTGCAGGACTTCTCATAGCGTTTAATGTGCAAAGGTGAAATACAAAGAGTTCAATATAATATACAACTTTTGTCTAAGCTGACTACAAAACATTTTTGGTTGTAGGACATACTCTTGAAATCATATCAGTATTATCAGTTAAGATGCTATTATCTGTGAGTTACAGAAAAGCTAAGAGTTATTTACAAAAATAAATAACTCTCCACCTCCCAGTTCCAGGGTGGATTCAGAGGCTTTTCGGTATCAGGGTAGTGGTTTGGAAACCCTGTACTTCCCTTGGCCTTTCCTTCTTCCAAGATGGCTGCCATCTACCCCATATCACTTTCTCACAGGGCAGCACTCTCATCAGAAGGAAGGGGAGGAGGAGCGTCTCCTTCACAGCTCTTGCATTTTATTGGTGGAAAATAATTCCCAGAATTCGTCACTGCAGCCCTTTTCTTAGATCTCATTGGCCAATCTGTACATCAGTCACTGGCAAGGTGAACTGGAATCTCAGTGATTGGCTGCAGCAGTTATGATTCATTTCCAGCATCAGGCACATTGTCACCTGAACATAAACAGGATTTACTTAAACTGAAGGAAGGAGAAAATGCACTCCAGAGTAGTTACCAAGTGGAGTCTGCCACAAAAGGAATCCACAGGGGTCCACTCTGTTTGTCAGGGTGCTGGTTTCCTGTCATTACTTTTCATTACTCTCTTTCATCCTACATATATGGGCTCAGCAACTGTGTGAATTCTGGTTTGTGGAATTTGACACAGATGCTTTGCTGCCAGCCTTGAATCTCACAGGTCACATCGCCCATCCTAACCTATATCCTAACTTTTCTACCCATCTTGGCACTGTCTTTGTATTTTGCCTTGTGTAATTTGGACTGCACTGGATATAGTCTTTGCTCATATCCCCTCAGCATTAGGTGTGGACAGCAGGCATGAGGCATCGTACCTTAGTTACCAGCTCAGCCCAGATATGCTGTCCATGAGCTTTCTGGCTCCTACCCTTCCCAGGAGAAGGGCATCAGCCAGTTACTCCTAACAGGAGGATCACTCTTCTCAGAGAACTATTGGGATTACTCACATTGCTCAGTTGTTATGCAAACTACACAACAGGGGACTTGTTCAGTCCTCCATCCCAAGGTTTGTCAATCTAGACTAGACTGAGCCTTCTTCTGAGCTTGCAATTCACATTACTGGCTGGATTCTTCTGGGGAGATGGTCACAGGAGCTCACTAAGGAATCTGTGCATGAATCACTCCTGATTCTATGGGCTGTATTTACCAGCTTGTTCCAGCATCACTACAGGTCATGGTGATAGTTGTGCAGTGACCATATCCAGTTATCAACATTTACCTCTCCAGCATCTGAACTAACAGATGGACAAATAAACAAGTAAGACAGAAATAATATGATCCCAGGAGCCTTTGTTTCCCTGAACAATCTACCGGTTGAGGGAGATTGTATGGTCATAGGGTGGGAGATTCCAGTGCCCACTTTTCTCAGCACTCATAAAATATTTGACTACAAAGGGATCTTTGTGCTTGAGTATTAGATGTTGGTTTGGGGGCTAATTAACAAGCTCAGTTAGAAAACTGCTAAGTAGCCAAATGCATGAATGCCAGATTCTGTTCTGTGGATTCAAATACTGATCTGCAGTATGGCAACGTGACACTGTAGTCAGCATACTGGGAAGGGTGGGTAGGGCTGGTGAAGTACTGGTTGTGGACTTAGGTTCAGATCCAACTTCTAAATGCTCCTTAGTGTCTCAGAGCTTGACTGTATGCGTAAAATGAGAATAGCTTTCTCATAGGATTGGTGACTGGATAAAACAATTTAGTTAAAGCCCTGCCAAAAAAAAAAAAAAATGCAGACCTCGTAGTCAACAAGGTGAGCTACTGTTAATACAGTATTATTCCCAAGAATTATTTCACTTCTCTTCCTCCTAGAAATACCAGCCAA